ATATATATATATAAATATATATACATTTTTGATATATATATATACGATCAAGAGGTAAATGATGCAATATCAGGAGGGAAGAGAGTGGGAGACTCCATTCCAGAAACTTAGGGCAGGGCATCTTAACCCATTTATGACAGGTGTCCCACATATGAGACACCCGGAAAAATGAACATTGCCGGGCATCCTGCCAGTGTGATGTTGGATGGGAGCTAGTGCTCCAATTCTGTTGTGGGCCGCGGCTGGCGCAGGGGCAGCTTCTGGGCCAGCCCCGTGCACCAATTTTGAAGCAGCCCAGAAACTATTATATTCGGCTTCAAAATATACCGGCATTAGTGGGTTAAGGTGCGGTTCAACTGGCCGTAAGCATGGTTATCTTGCCTAAACTGTGTTTTTCAAGCAAGAGAGATGTGTGGTCTGGAACAGCAATGCTTTTTGCAGGTGAAACACTATGCCTGGCTGGGCACTTGGACACAAGTCCAACAAAGCCAGTTGAACAAAGCCAGTTGAACCTCGCTGTTAGGAAGACTTCTTAATGGACATTGAGCATCATAAAGTGTATCTTAGGGGCAAGTCCATGATCAGATGATCAGTAGTGAAATCTGTGAAGAAGAGCAATCCTGAAGTGTTTGGGGGACTTCTGTGCATTCCAGGTTACAGCATGTGCAGGAGTTAACTTACACCAGCCACACACCAAGGAAAGACCCTCTTCTAGCAAAGGCACAGATAGTTCATAGGGTTTCCTTTTGCATGGAATTTTATGTCCAGAGCGTAGAGGGCTGGCTCTGTGTTATGGTTAGATGAGGCTACAGTTGACATTGTATGCAACCGTGGAAGTGGAGTGTACCAGCAAAAAGGCAGCAACCACCTCGACTCAAGCTGTGTGCAGTACATAGTAGTACACCCAACCTCACTCATGGTGTGAGGTTGTTTTACTGGCAGGGGCCTAGGAAAACTTGTTATTCGTAATGAATGTTAAATTTAAACAACATTACTATCTGGAGCAGCTTGTGTGACCCCTTGTTCGGGCTTGCCAAAGTCGGCATCTTCCAGCAAGATGGTGTCCCTGCCCACATAGCAAAATATGTGACCCAGTGGCTCGAGTACTGCATGGTACACTTTATAAAGGATTAGCTGAACAATAGCCTGGATCTTCATACTATTGAAAACCTATGGCACGTTATTAAGAGGAATTTACAAGGGAAGGACATAAGTTATGTATCCAAGCCAGAGGCGATCATTAGTGAGTCATTGGGCAATATCTCACCTGTTGTATTCAAGAACCCTGCTCTGTCACTTCCTAGACATCTTCAAAGTGTAAAGATGAAGAAAGGCAACCTTACATTCTTTTACATAAATTCCTCAGTGTATTCACTGATAAGCATAGTGGGAAAGCAGGGGTCACATACTTTTGACAAATAATAGATAGATAGATAGACTGATTGATTGATTGATTGATTGATTGATTGATTGATTGATTGATTGAATAAATACATGTGTTTATATATGTATGGTTATATAGATACATACAAATTCAATATATAATATTCAGTTTCTTTTCATAATTTGTCTTTATTTCCTTTCATACATACAAATATGGATTTTGATATTGATATGAATATGAAAATGAAACATATATATCAGTTAGCTATAGGAAGTGGAGAGACAATAAAATTTGTTTAAATATAATGGTTACTCGTATTATTATGGGAGGCAGGCATGGTAGTAAAGTAAATTTGCTGTAAAATTCATGAATATAACTTCCTTTAAAATCTGCCTTTGTAAGTGAAGAAGTTAATGATATTTCACACACATGTGAATAGTAGGAGGCCTATCCATAGCTTTTGTTGATATTGTTGATATATGATCAAGAAATTATGTTTTGTCTATGCTGTGTTTGATGATTCTAGTCAAGATATACATTACTTGTTGAATCTAGATGACAGTACTGCAGTGGATGACCTCCAATTTTGTGCCTGAGGGGCATATTCAATTAAGAGATTAAGATTAGCCAGTGTTTGCATTGAATAAGCCCAAAATTTGATAGTTTTATAGAATAATATGAGAAGATTCAGTGTAATCATTTTTTAAAAATATTGATTAAGATGAAAAAAAATTGTTTTGTTACAAATTGCCCAGCCATATAAGTTGTGAAAAAAACATGTTGGTGTGTAAAAGGCTGCAGAATATAGCAGCTAATATTGACTGGAAGAGAAAGAATAAGAAATGTATTGTACTTGCAATATTCACTGGAATCCAAACCAACCATGGACTGGATTAGAAAAAGGTCCAAAAAGAGAAAAAGAGACATTACTTGCATTGAAGAGGACAACCAGGCATTCTTTCAGGCAAAATCTGATGAGAATATCCTTAATAGCTGCTCAGTGATGGTCCCTGTTACAACTTGCCTTTGTTACCTTTTAATGTTTTTCTCCCCTAGTATCAGAGTTTGATGACATATTATTATGCTCTGGTCTACAATTTTCTCATCCTTTTCCAGTTGCAAGGAGTGTTGTAAGTGATGTAACAAGAAGGTGGACGTAGCCGCTGCGTAAGCCTCGGCTGCCACATCTCCAAAATGGCCACCATCACTCGGCCCGGGAGCCTCCGGAATCCAGAGGTGGCTGACTTGTTTGAAAGAGAGGATCCTGACCGCGTTTTTGATGACTTGCGGGAAATTGGCCATGGCAGTTTCGGAGCAGTGTACTATGCACGACATGTTACATCCAAGGAAGTAAGTAATGTGGAGTGAAGGCTACCCCATATTTTGCTTGTTAGGATGAAGGTGATTCTCGAGATTTACAATTTGAAAGTACCAAGTATTGATAATTTGGTGTTTTAATTTTACAGTTACATGCTAATTCTAGTATTACATCTTATGAATATGAATGTGCAATGTCACTGTCATAATGTGTGATCTCATTTATTAATACCAATACACCAAGGTGTCTCATGGCCATAATATATGGCTGATTTTGGGTTTAGGTAGCCCATGTGTAATTTGATAAAATATACTGATTTTTCGAAATTCTCTGTCTGTTAAGTAATGTTGACTTGTTTTAATGTCTTAATACCACCTTGCCAAAAGCTTATACTGTATTCATTTCTCCTTTACATCACATTTTGGAATTCTATGGAGGCTCATTTATTCATTTCATACAAGCTCAACTTTTCCCCAAAGTGCAAACAAATGTAAGGAGCTATAGCTTCATAATATATTGCTTATTTAGCAAAATTGATTTGGAGATACCCCCATTCAAGTTACATGGGTATGTGAACAAGTAGTGGAAAGATGAGGAGCCAGTCCTTGCTCATTGATGGTTATTACTCAGTTAATCACCCACTCCCCCTCCCCCAGATTTCATGTGTAGGACACTAGGTTTCACCGTTAGTTGCCTTATTCAGCCATTAAATTTATTATTTCAAATAACCCTTGTTTTATTGTGTTTTTAGGTGTTTGAAGAAGACTTGTCAGGATTTTGATATTTTGAAGATTTTAGTTCATAGGTCCTAGGTATTGCCTTACTTTTCTAAGGCTTTTGGCAAGATAGTTTTACACTAGACAAAAATTTTGAGTCCATGTACTGTTTTTCTTCTCAGGTGGTGGCTATCAAGAAAATGTCCTACAATGGAAAACAAAGTGCAGAGAAGTGGCAAGACATCTTGAAGGAGATACGGTTCTTGCGCAATCTCCGTCACCCAAACACAGTAACCTATAGAGGATGCTACCTCAAGGAATCTACAGTATGGGTGAGTAACTTTTTGTTGATTATTCGTGTTGGACTGTGGGTGAGTCCTTGGGGGATATTTTTCTCTTTTCTTTATCATTAGTCACTACCATGATCACTCACTCATTTAATCAGCCATTTTATTCACTTATTCGTTTGATGCACCAATCATGTCATTCTGTTGATCCACTGAATTCCACTCATTCGCCTACTCATACTTGTGCATTTCACTCACTCATTCCATTGGTATTTCTGCTAAATTACTATAATGATGTTTACATTTTTTTCATTTTACTCATTCCATTCATCTATTTGACTTGACTAATTGTCATTTTTCTTCATGTTTGCAGTTTTCTTTTCCATCCATTTAATTAAGTCACTCATTTTACTTAACCAACACATGATGGGACCTCCCTTTTGCCATACCAAACCATTCACTGGTGTGCATGTAGAGTCAACCATGTTAAGAAAAAATTAGAAGTGTGGGAACTATAAATTTACCCTGCTCACTGCACTCTTGCATGTGGCTTAAACATCCGATTCAATGATGAGGATGAAAAGAAGCTCGAAGCTTAATCTTTTGGGGCAGCATTTCCTCCTCTTATGTGGATATGGGATTGGTTTGGGTGGTTTTGAGTTGGTACTGAGTATCTTGAGGAGTGCTCTTGTGAAAAAATTAAATCTAACAGATTTAGTAAAATTTGCCGATTTGGCATGTACCTTTTTATTGTCAGTGTGTATAGAAGTGTATCAAAACAGGAAAGTTTCTGATTATGTGCCAGTGAATGATATATAATGAATTATAAGAAAGAAATACTTCAAATTTAACAGCCCTGTATTTACTTAGGCAAAGCGTACAGTGCATAGCAGGGCAAAAAAAGTGAAAGGTCTGCTTGACAAAGCGTCATGCAGGGTGTTGCATACCAAAGTGTGTGAGTGTTTGAGGTGGTTTGGTTCACCTCCTGGTCTGTTTGTAAATTATCAAAATGGCTGCCAATTTAGAGCCTCAAAAAGGCAGCTTTCTGAACATATTTCAATATACCTTTCTGTTTTTGTTAGTCATTAATGCATGTGTAGTATAGAAATTGTCTACATCAGTTTCAAGCCCCTATTACATTTTCAATCAGAAAAGTCAGTCATATCTCTCTTGACAAGTTTCAATGATGTCCACCATACAAGGACAGATTGTTGAAGATAGGTGATAGGTGTGGTTCGCGGTAAAACCATTCACCCCGAGTGTTTTGGGCTGGAGTGAAACACATTGTACAGTAAAGCTTAAGTGAACATCTGACAAGATAGTAAGATTGAATGCAACTGTGAAATATTCAATTGATTCTTGCTCCCCACCTTCCCAAATCGGGGACAAAGATGTTTTATTAAACAAAATGTTATACTAATGCATACAAACCATTATTTATCATTTTCAATCCTTTTTGGAAGGGTCTTGGTCTGCATGCAGATGCATGGTGTTATGGAAAAATTAGAAATGTGTGAGCTATAAATTTACGCCACTTATGATGACAATCGCTGCACTTTTGGTTATGTTTTTTTTTTTTTTTCCAATGTATATTTGATGTTTGATTTGCTCTATCCAGATGATTATAGACTATTTTCCTTGGACAGACTCCATATCATCTCTCTAGGTTGTAAATAACTCAGTGCAAGAATTATAAGAAGCAACATTTTGTTATTTTTTTTTATTTATTTATTTATTTATTTTTTAATATTTGATTTTCTGTAACACTACCTGTGCTGCTGATCATGGTGGCCAGGAATAGGATCATGAGCATGGAAATAACATCCTCCCAGTAGCAGGTGTTCTTCCAGTTATGGCTCAAGGACAGAACATTCCACACTCATTTATTGATGGAAAGCCCCTTCCTAAATGCTAGATGAGTCTTAACTATATGCACTTGTGGCAAGTCATACCAGTCACCCCAGCCTTCAGTTGAAATGCTCACAAAGGCAATTTTGCTTCACCCCAGCCCACAGCCAAATTTTCCCATGATGGCATTTTCATGTCACCCATCCCTCAAGCCAAATTTTTTTCATGATGTAATGGTCATGTCATCTGGATTGTAGGGTGAATGTGTGTGTAGTGTAGAACTTACCTACCTGTTCCACACCCCCTATTACATTCTCAGCTAAGAAAGTAAGTCATCTCTCATTTTACAAGTCTTAATGATGACCCCCATGCAAGGACAAATTGCTTATGATAATTAGCTGATAGGTGCATTTTGTGACAAAACTGTTCACCCAGAGTATTTTGGTGTGGGTTGAAATGCACTGTGCAGTAGAGCTCAAATGAATGCTGGACTGATGATATAAACTAGAGTGAAGGTTACTTACAATCATAGCAGCAGCAAGAGAACACAATGTTTTAATGTGTGATAACCTTCCATGGATAGCAGGCAAATTAGTAATATGCAAGATATTAGCCAATCAGAGCACTATACTTTTGATTCTCTGTTAGGCAGTGCCCCAGGCCATTTGATATGTGGGCTGGAGAGTATTCATAAAGAAAAGCAAAAAATGTAATGCATGCACTGTTGTAATGTGATATGAATGACATGTCCTTCGTAGCCGCGACCAATTCAGGCATGGTAGGAAGAGCAGTCGTTAGGAGCCATGACGTGAGCCATATGCCATCTGGAGGTATATAATTCACTCATTCAACCACGTAACTTCACACACTCATTCTATTCACTTGTTCTCCTTGTACATTCTACTCATTCAACTTAGTCACTCATTCTACTCAGTGATGCCACTCAGTCATTGAGTATTTACTCTTTGTAAACAGTCCTGTTTTTTTTTTTTATGTATTAAACTTTTCATTTTCTCTTATTGAATGCTTTTAATTACCCTTTCAGTTGGTAATGGAATACTGCTTAGGATCGGCATCAGACATCATAGAAGTTCACCGTCAACCCCTTAGAGAAGAAGAAATCAGTGCCATTTGCGAAGGCTGTCTCTCTGGTCTTGCATATCTGCATTCGTTGGGAAAAATTCACCGTGATGTCAAAGCTGGAAATATTCTACTTACTGAAAATGGCACTGTAAAACTGGGTATGTATATTCTGTTGTCAAGGAAGGGTACTTGTTGTGGACTAAAATTTTATGGTATTTAAGGTAAATTAAAAATAACCATTTCTTTTTATTGTGACTGTGGAAGCCAATGTAACATTTTTTTTCCCTTTGTTTGATTTCTGTCATTCATTCTTTCTTTGATCATTTTTTTATCATGATTGTCCACTATGGTTTTCTTTATTAATGTTTTTACGGAAAAACTGTTTCATAACTGTTTAGTCACAAAGGAGTCAGTTACTAGGTCTGCTTGATCTCACCTGTTTGTTCCATTCCTGAATTTTTTGGAAATGATTCATTTCTATTGATGTTATGATTATTATTAATATACATTTTACATTTAGTTACATTATTATTGTTATAACACTATTGTCATGAATGATTTTAATTAAATCAAAAATTTCTACTATAAAATTCAAGGGCTGTAGCAAAAATGTAAGCCAAGACCTAGTTAAGACCTAATGATTAATGCCTTAGTGACTGAACACTTTAAGAGATGTTTGTATGTAAACAAAAGTAACAAGACAACACCATGTTGGGCATTGGTTGTATATGTGCACTCAGGGCATCAGTGGGTAACCCCTTTGTGCTGGGTTAGCATGATATGTGCCATATCCCCTGTGATTTTAGTTCACTGACTGAGTTTACACATAGAAGGCTTCACAAGTACATTGTTGTCAAAGAATCATTAACTAGTTCTATCTATGTAACCCTTTTCATCAATTTTTGGAATAATTTGTTTAGATTTTTTATTGCTACTAGTTTATGATCATCATATGATTAAATGATAGTGATAATAATATTGATTTTAATAGCATTATAAAAGAAGAGGTAATCAGGGAATAGGGAAATATGGTGTGGTCACATTTGGCTAGTTCTCCTTCGAGGATTAGTGCTTTTGTTTACTTGAAATACGAAATTGCGTTTTTCTCATGTATTCAATATTTTTTCCAGCTGACTTTGGTAGTGCAAGTATTGCATCACCAGCTAATAGTTTTGTTGGGACACCATATTGGATGGCTCCAGAGGTAATTCTAGCTATGGACGAAGGACAATATGATGGAAAGGTAAGCACTGCATAATGTTTACAAGACCTTTTTTGTTTTGCAATTTTTCATTCATGAATTAATGTGGCAAAGTCACTCAAAATGTATCTACTTGAATTGATAATGTCTGATTCTTATATTACCATTTTCTCATTGTTTATGTATTACTTGTCTTCTTATTGGATCTGTATTGAGTATTTTATGTAAACATTGTCTTTGTGTCCTTTAAGAAAGTTTATTTATTTATTTTTTTTTTTTCTCATAATAGGTAGATGTGTGGTCCTTAGGCATCACATGCATAGAACTAGCTGAGCGCAAACCGCCCTATTTCAACATGAATGCCATGAGTGCCTTGTACCACATCGCCCAAAATGTTGCCCCCAAAATGTCCTCCCCAGAATGGTCAAAGGAATTCCAGCATTTTGTTGAGTCATGTCTGCAGAAGAACCCACCTGATCGCCCTACCTCTGCTAGGCTTTTGTCGGTACGTACAAAGTGTAACTGAAATCTCTTGTGGATGTGTGATTGCCATCTTTGATTCAGATTGAAGGGGGAAATTATAGGGACAGGTGATACAGATTACAAGTCTTGGGCCACACACAAATGACATATGAAAGCAGTGATGCAAAAATGTTCAGAGAGTCACATGTAGTAATATGTTCTCTGTGACTCAGGCTCTCCTGGGAATAATTTTATTACATTACCACTGTCTGTTAACCCACTGATGACAAGAGGTAACAACTGTTTAGTATTTCAACTATTTCAACCCTACACAAATGGTGTAGTGGTGGCAGATATTAAAATTTCCTTCTAATTTTGTTGTAGCATGTTTTCCATCTCAATTTTTATATGTATTTACTTACTGATTGATCAATTTATTTATATTTGTCTGAAAATGTGGCTACATCTCTTAATTTTTCAAAATTCAAGAATCCGCCACTATGCTCATATTGTAATACACTTTACAACAACAACAACAAATCAGAGCAAAAATGTATATACTAACATGCATATGAAAGGGATAGTTATTTGTTTGATTCAGGGAAGTAAGCACTTTTACATAAGGGAAAGAGTTGTCGGAATGGTCACGAAATTCGTTATCCAGTCCTCTTCGATTTAGTTTTTTAGCTAGGTCAATAAAATTTTTACACAATGTGCATGAATATGTGATGCTTGAGTACAAGGAATTTGATTTTAAAAAGCTGCATAATTTTTTGCGCTAGAAAAAAAATAAACAAGCGAGATCGTAGAATTCGAAAATTATGTAATGGCTTCCTTATTGTGAATAGTACTGCAATTTCCTTCTGGCCAGAGTTAGTCAACAAATAGGAGTACCAATTGTAGCATTTATGTAAATCTATCTGAAATGACAATGTTTCAGTTACCTTGCAAAAATTTTTTTCAGTAAAAAATGTATTTGGTGGAAATAATGCATGTCTTACAGTTAGTAGTTACGAAGTGGACGGTCATTTTGCAACAAGAATTATTAAAATTGCGTAATTACATACAAAGTTATACTTATTTTCTCGGATGAAAATATGATTTTAAGAAAATAGCAGTTTTTGTCATTCATCTTCATTACACCATAAAGGTCATACCAATGATTACCAAATGTGAATATCTACTTAGACAATCCCTTGGCCTTTAATAGGAGTCCTGTGGTAGAGGGTAAAGCCTTGTTCAGGTAATTTTAGGTCATCTTTATGTCAAGGTTAGGTTAGATTAGGCGGGAGTGTTCTCAGAAAAGTATACTTTCAGATGGCAAGGCTCCTGGTCCCCAGTCATTTACATGTCAGAGTACATGATAAATCATATATTTTGCATTTCTGATATACAAATGACATATTGCCAGTTTTTCAACAGGTTGAAAACAATGCATGTGTACTCCCAACAACTTTATCAATCGCACTGTTCTCCCATCCATGCTGCTGCTGCCTGCCTGCTGAACACAGCATAAAGTATCGTACAGTATCATACCAAATTAATTAGCAAAAACAGCCAAAAAAATGCTGAAAATACAAGGAAAACAAAGCATGAAGCAAAAAGGGGTGTGGCAGAGCGAGGGCATTTAAATACCCCAGACCTTTAAATCGCGGAAAGGAGCACATTACGCATCTGGCAACTGGGCACCCATGGTGCGTCACAAGCTCACGTATCCACACACAAAGTTTGAAAAAAACTGTAATTTGTGACCCATACCGACGACTCTCTACCTTAAGGCTGAGCACTGAAATCTTTAGTAAATGCAAACTAGGAAATGTTAACCATGTGTTAAAAAAATGTGAAGGTTCCTTCTTTTATGTTGAGAACATGTAAACAGTTAGGCAGCTCATTGGGAATGGGGTTAAGATAATGGTAATTGCCTGGAATGGAAGTAGTACTAGCTGGCTGGGATGTTTGTAGGCACATACTTTTGCTCAGTGATAGGGCGTTATTTCCATTGTGTGTTTGAGCATGGTCAGGCATTTGTACGTAGGCTCAGATTAAAGTGAACCATCAGTGTTTTTCTTTGAGAGGCTTTAGACCATCCTACCAGTTTCTGAGATGGAATAGGTATTGAAAGGAATGTTTAAAAATAGTGGTAACCAATGTGAATTCAAAGCATTTACTACCCTTTCTTATCTGCAGGGCTTGATTTGCACAGAAAGTAAGCCAGAGGTATAGAAGAGTGTAACATACCAGTTTTTATTTGATAAATGCTAATGGTCAGTGTTCTAACAGACTTGCTGAGCAGGAGATAATCATGTAAACAAAAAACAAAAATAAAATAGTGAAAGGTGCTGCAACCCATGTTGATAGATAGGCCTATATGAATGCTGGCTTCAGTTGAGTGATGAGTAAACAGACTTTTCCAAATGTTCTATCACATTTTAGGATTATATAAAAAGTTTATGAAGGTTCTCATCATCTTGTGCCTGGGAGGTATACATCCAATTTGGGTTAGTAGATTTCAGTGTAACCCATTTACAACGGGTGCCCCACATATGAGACACCCAGGAAAAAAAGATTGCCGGGTATCCCACCGGTGTGACGCTGTATTGGGGCTTGTGCTCTGACTCAGCAGCGGGCCACGGCTGGTGCACAGGCAGAGTCCGGGCCAGCCACGTCCGCCGATTTTGTAGCTGCCCAGAAACTTTTATTTTTGGCTTCAAAATATACTGGCATTAGTGGGTTAATAGCTATTTTGAAACTGCATTTTTAAAGTAATTTACACTACAGGGAAATTTTGTAGTAAAATTAGTAATAGTAGTATTAAATAGGTTTATATATTAGTATTAGTATTATTAGTAGTAGTAGTAGTAGAAGTAGTAGTAGAAATAGTAAAAAAAGAAAGAAAGAAGAAAAAAGAAAATGAAACAATGGTAAATATAGGAAATTATGCAAATCTAGGTATAGATAATAAAATTGGAAGGATGAAAAATAAATTTTTTTGAATTTGTAAAAACCTAATTCTTTCATTTCTAGGTTATTTAAATTGAGTACCTTGCCTTGGACCTTTCTAACCAGTTACTAAACCTGAAACCACTAATCAAAAAAAGTAGATGTCTGGGACCCATAGCAGTCTGTTGAAGTCTTCACATTTTCCTTCTTTTTTTTTTTTTTTTTTTTTAGCTTTGATTTTATTCTTATCCCAGGAAGTAAGTTTTTAAAGATCAGATTGATGCACATAGTGCTGTGTTACTAATTCAAACTATTCCATTTCAGCATGAATTTATTTTGAGACATCGGTCGTGCCACATCATCCTAGATCTAATTGCACGTACAAAAAAAGCTGTGCGTGAATTTGATAATCTAAACTATAGAAAAATGAAAAAGATTCTTCTATATGAAACGGAAAGTCAGCAAGGTGATGTTGAAGGTGAGGTTCCAGTTCTCCTTTTGTAGTCTATTGTGAGGAATCAAAGAGATATCTTTTTGATATA